GGGGGGGGGGGGGGGGGGGGATGGGCATGGAGGAGGGCACTTTGGGGATGAGCACTGAGTGTTATGTAGAAACTAATTTGACAATAAACTATTTGTAAAAAAAAATAAAAAATAAATAAAAAAAAGAAACACCATAAACCCACGGAAAACATTAACAAGTGACAAGTTATCTGCACAAACCCCAAAATTCAAAAGGGTGGAAACAAACTACCAAAAGCAACAAGGCCTCTATGGTATTCACATTACCAGCATCTGTGCAGGATGAGTCAAAAGGGAGTAATCAGACCTGAGAACAAAAGTATAAAATAGCCAACAGGTTATGCACCAGAAGCCACAGGAAACCAACATGAGAACACAGCTGAAGCTGTGAGAGATTTTTGTCCAAATGAATAGTGAGTACAAAGTGAGTGCAAGGAGCCTTGCAGTAAGGTGTTGAGGGGCTGGAGCAGTCTAGCCTCTGTAACTAAGTACTGACCAACCAGGACTCCCTTGTAGAAGAGGAACAATACATATGAAAGAAATAGATGGCCCAGATAAAATGAGTGAGGATCAAGCTGCCCTGTGCACCTTCCCTGCCACAAGTTCTTCTTGCCCTCACTTGACTGTGGGCTAGTGACATACAGATGTACCAAAGAAATCGCCTCCCATCCTTTGCTTTTGCGTATCACCTCAACATTCAATAAAGGAATCTGCCCCCAGGTTCCTTTGTTCTTCTCCCACTCCAGGTCTCTCTCTCTTGTCTCTTCCCTACATGCTTTGTGGAGTCTTCTCCCGTAGTGCTTCCTTCATGTGGCCTCCTTGTAGCATGTGGTGACTTTGTTTCTCCAGGATAAACTTTCTTCCTGTTCCTTTCCTGGGTCCCCTTCTTGTGGCTAGACTATATGATCATCTCATAAATGATATAAAACATAGTTTTATATTAACCAAATACAGAGGACTCTGTAAAGTCTTAAGTCAGGAAAGCTATCCTGAACCAAACTTTCTTTTCAAAGTTCAGAAAAACCAAATTCGCATACAAAGGAATAGAAAAATATCAAGGTCAAAATTCCCATAAAAAGTTATCCTACAAACAATGAAAGTGTGCCTAAAGATATGACCACAAAAT